CATGCCAACGAGCTGGAGCTCCCTCTTCGGCACGGGCTGCAGCGACAGGTACCGGTCTACAATGTATATGGTGAGGTAGAGCGTTTCTGGCATGAGGTCGAATCTTTGGTGAGACTCGATGAGCCAGTCCGTGAGGATGGCACGCATTTTGGAGGTGAGCTCGGGCTGATTGCCCATGTAGTCAATGGGACGGCTCTCATGCTGTAAAACACAAACATGGTGTGTATGGTGAGGACAGATTCAGAACAAGCTTGCTTGAGAACAGACTTGCTAAAGATGAATCCGCAGTTACCTGGGCGGTCTTGTAGAATGTGTAGATGTCCTCAACGTAGTCCACCAAAGCAAGCTGGTTGTCGCCATCGAACTTGTCAATATCCTCAATGAGCGGCTTTGGCTTCTCGGTAAGGCCACAGGCAGCCTGACATCGATGAGAACAAAGCAACAGGTTTATACAATGCTGAACCGATCAGCATCGATGCAGGAGCAGAATTGTTGTTGGATGCAAGAGCAGAACAAGTGCTGAACCTTAGAACGCGCAGAAAGGACGGTTGAAAGCGTGTACACGTGCTTCTTCCTCCCATCCTTCTGCACAAAGCGGCTGCTGCCGGCGGCACCCTCCGATAGCTTCCTGTTCCCCTCGGGGTGTTTGGCTCCACCCTCCGATGGCTTCCGGTTCTCCTTGGGAGCTTGCTCAGGACGAGGGATGTTCTTCGCTGGCACTTTCCTAGCTGGTTTCGTAACGGCGCGCGCCGCTACAGGCTGAGCAGGAGCTACGGCGTTCTGCAGAACCACAACCACCAATTGGAATCAGACCAAATCAGATACTTCGGATGCAAGAATCTGCCGAATCAAATCAAATGCAGTACTAGTGGCTCATCCGCTTACCTTGTTCGCCAAAGCCTCCTTCAAGAGCTGGGCGCCGAAGCTCCTGGTGATGGGGCGATGGATCCCCTCCGGCAGCTTGATCCCCCTGTAACGGCGAGGCAAGCAAGTTTCAGAGGACAATATGAAAGAAAGAGAAGGGATGCAGCAGAAGGCCGTGACGATCTCTGGTGTCTTACCCGTCGAGGACATCGAGGGCGACGTTGCCAATGTCACCGAGGGCTGGGCGTGTCGCGTTAGGTCTGCCGGCGGCGGCCGCGTCTTTCTGTTTCCCCGCGATCCTCGCGGCACCTGACCATCATCGCCGAAGAGGAATGGCAATTCGATCAGCATTTACGGGATGAAATTCGTGTGAAATCAAAGCAAAGCTCCCCCGAAACCGTAAATAAAGAACAAAGATTGGACTGTTTGAAACCGAAACTATGCTTGACGTGAGATTCAGGAGCAGATCGATAAAGAAAACAAATCAAACAAGCCGGACTACATCGCGATCAAATCTTGATGCACGAGTCTAATAACGGAGCTAGGAAAGATCAAGAATCACTACCCAAGAAGCCGGGATACATTGAAATCAAATCTTGACACGTGAATGGCAATCAGACGCCCCTGGCAGCACATAGTATGAAAAGAAAATCCGTTCTTTGTGGATGATCCAAACAAGCAGGCGAACAACAGATCAAGAACTGGAACTAAGCGCAGCGAAAGGCCCAATCTTTCGACCGCTCACCTCGGTTCGCCGGCTGCGGAGCTGCAGCGCGGTGGTTCTTCGTCGCCATTGCTGAGTCGCCTCCCCGAGAACGCCAACGCCAAGAAATGGGCGACCGCTTGAAAGACGTGAGGCAAGGAGAAGCTCGAACGCCTCCTCCTCCTCCTCCTCGTTGCTCTCGTCTACGGCTTCTGGGTTCTGTGGATCGGAAAGGGAGGTAGGGAGGGGGGAGGCTTGTGCCTTTGGATGTTGGCTGAGGAAGGAAGAAGACGGCGGTGGGGCTGCAGCTTTATTCAGATCGGGGCGGCTCCAACGGTCGGGACTCGTGAGACGGCGGGCGGTGAGGAAGGCCGCAGCGTCTGGACGGGCGGGATCGGACGGCTGGGATCGACCTGCCTGGAGGGTTTCTGGGGAACTAGCCGTTGAGGGGTTGCCGTTAAGAATTCGCCGATGCGGCTACCACCACCGACTCGTGTTTCTGACCAGTTCAACCGTGATACGGACAGGTAATTCAGTCCTGTATATATATCCTATAAAAAGAAAAATCACTCCCGTACCGTATGTATATGAGATGAGATAGAGAGAGGATTTTGCGGCGGAGATTGCATACGATACGGTAAAAGTGGGAAATGACAGGATGGACGAGCCCACCACCACGGGCCTTTTTTTAAAAAAAAAGTGATGGAAAACGCCTTTTTTGGAATAGGAAAATGGTGGTTGCGGTATTGGCGTTGCTCGTCTTTTATGTCGCCATCGTCTTTTATAGTTATACCAGGGTTTTTCCCCCCTATTTTCATGTAGAAAGTCTTACATCAACACATTTTATCATGCCTCCAGAGTCTACGAGCATAAATGTTTAGTGATCATGATCCCTTAATTTAACGAAACATGTGTAATTCACCTATATTTACATAAAAATTTAGCTAAAAATGCTAGCCATCCATTCCTTCGTAGGCTTCGTGTGAGAACAACGTTTGAATTCTAAAAGGAGAGGTTCCAAAAAAAAGAACTATAAAAGGAGAGAAACATAGAGAGAAAAAATAAGATGCTCGAATCAAATATAAAAATGCTATTTTATATATAAAAAAAGAGATGATTTGCATACCATACGGTGATTAAAATTGCTAAGTGACAATATGCTTGAGTGTGACACTAAGACTTCTATTTTCTTCGTATTGAATAGGCCATCGACACAAAACTTCTTATGTTCAGCCTAACAACCTTGATTTGAACACAGGGGCGGAGCCCGGCCCTTTCGTTGAAAAAATTGCAAAAATGACACTCGAAAGATCGACTCCTTGATTATGATGACACTCGGGTGGATGACAAGTGGATCCATCTGTGTTTATGAATGTGGGTCCAGTGTTAAATCTGCAAACGACCGATGTTTCGAGTGCTATTTTTGCAAGGGTCGGTTTAGTGTTACTAGAGGTTGATGACCCCGGCGACATATTCTGTTGGCTTCGCTCCTATTTGAACAAACAAATCTACCAAATGTTAGTAATCGATCAAGATCACTCTAAATGGAGTGATAAGCCTTGCGGAATGTGTTACTGGCTATCAGTGGAGGAGCCTCGTAGAGGAGAAATTGGACATTTGCCCCCTTCCTCGGAGAAAAAGAACAATGTAGCTTGTGAATCTCTAAAGTTTGGGTATAATTGAAGGGAAAGATGAAAATACGAGGCATAGTTGTGACTGGGCACGGTATTAGAAGCAGTGCATGCCTGCTATTGCCAATAGCTATAGTGTTACTATATTATTAGCTTCTGAAATTGGCTTCCTAGTCCCTCTGGCTATGCTTTAGGTGGTGTTTGGTTCATTCCCCACCTTCTAAATCTAGTCTTATTTAGTCACTTTTATCCAAGTACTATAACCAAATGGGACTAAAAAGTGCATTAATCAACTAGTCACCCAAGTGTTGCTAAATGGGACTAAAGCCCACCTTTTAGTCAGGCTGTCTCAACTTTTAGTCATTTTGGATCTAAACACCCCGACTAAAAGAGGTCTTTTAATCTCTTTTAGTCTACCAAATCAAATAGGAGTAACTAAACTTTAGGAGCTAGTTTAGTTTAGATGACTAAATCTTATGAGATGAACCAAACACGCCGTTAACAAGTGCGAGAACGAGTGAAGGACCGTGCCGTTCGTGCCAGCGGTGTGCTAGAAACTGGTTCCTGAGTAGAAGATCTAGAGGGCCGACCATATCTTTGCCTAGTGGGCAGTTGGGCTTCGTCATGACTGGGCTCATAGCCTGCACTCGGCCTTCCATGAAACCTGTGGCCCAGAAAGAATGACGTCACATCCGTGTTATGTTTTTAATAAAGGAAAAAGAGAGAAAAGAACCGAATATCCCGCTGCGCACTTTTTCTGTTATCGAATCGAAAACTCCCGTCGTGCGCGCGTTCGTCAGTACAGTAGTGCTCTAGTCTAGTGCTTGGTCAGAACCGGTGCCGTACTGCCGTGGCTCTCTCAGAGTCTCGGTCCCTATAAACAAATTCAACGGTTGCTCATGCTTCATCTTGTTCGTGTTGGTGAAGCGCCCTTGGCAGATTTTCAACAGTCTTTGTCTTTCCAAGCATCGGACTGGACGTGACGCGACACTCGGAGAGTCAAGACTTCAATAACCCACGGGAGTTCGTACGGGACACGGTAATCTTCTCTGATGAGACGGCCGATTTCAGGTCGCCAGAAACGGACGCGCCTCTCCCCGGAAACCGGCCACATCTCTGGGGCTACCGGGCTAGTAGAAGCCAGCAGCGTACGCCACGGTACAGCGATGGTCGCGCTCGCTCGTCATATCGTGGTCCGATCACTGGCATACCGATCAGTCGTTTCATGATGCTCCATCGGCCACGCCCAGCTCCGACTCAAGCGTCATGTATGTGAGGCGTCTCCAACGCTCTCCACAGCTCGGAAAATGCAGTACAGTTACAGTAACAGTAGGAAGGCGACTGACAGGCACGAGTCGCACGAGCAAAGCAAAGACTCGTTTTTTCCGATGCCTGCACCGCACCGCACCTCCTTTGATTTTGCCAGCAGCAGCGGGTGCACGGCACCTGTCAGCTAGTCCTAGTCCTAATCGTACTGGCCACTGGCCACTCATTCACATTCAGGTAATCAGGTTCTGTGGTTCTGTTCTGTTTGCTTTCTCTGAACTCGTGCAATGCGGCAGCTGAAACATGAGGCCCGCCGGGCTCAAAGCGAGGCTACGACGGTTCAGACGTCAATAGTTGCGAGAGAGATCGCTCGCTGTGTCACACCAGAAAGGGAGAGGGCAAGGACGGCGACGGCATTATTTACAGGTGCAAGAAGCAGGGTCTCATCTCGCATGTTAGTTGCAGAGCAAAAACGAAGGCACATGAAAGAAGCTAGCTACTCCGGTTGGTGGCGGGCGCCGGTGATCGTCTCAGCTTCAGCTGCAGGCCTTGGCCGGCCGGCGGCCCCGTCCCCACAGCGCCGGCCAGCAACCGATGCCCAGCGCCATCTGCGTCCTGAAAGATAGCATGTCGGTTTTGTTAGTTTCGTACAGATAATAACATCCCAAAGCAATCTGAAGCAGTAGAGGAGGAGCAGTAATCTGAAAGTCTTTTTTTGAAAGTAAGTAATCTGAAAGTCTGAAAAACTGTCTTTAGCAATCGAACTGTTTCTGAAAAGGTGTACTCTATCAAGGAAGAGAAGCTTCTGAAGAGTAAAGGCAGACTGATCCTGTGTACTTCGGTCAGATTATGATCCTTGTTTTCTTTTTTCTTTTTTGTTTTCATGGTCATAAGTTGTTCCATTGTTGACTCCACAAAGCTAAGACAGGTCAAAAGGATGGAAGAACCGTTTGGTCCAAAAGATACCGGTCCCAGGAAAAAAATGCATCCATCGGTTATAACTTTCAGCGGCGTGTGGTTGAAAAAAAAAGAGTTTCAGCCTTTCAGGTACAGTCATACAGACCAAGCACTCATGACCAAACGAAAAGCGTTGCAAAGGGTGCAGTGACTAACGAGGACATCTAGGCCCCGTTCGCGTGTCTTTAAACTCGATTTGATCTCTTTTTTTTCATTTAGAACTGTGTTTTTCTCTCATAAATTTCTCCGGCATTCCTCCAAATCATCCAAATTTCTCCAGAATTCCTTCAAACAAACAGGCCTGATACCATGCAGTTGCAGTAGTACTGCTGGATTAGGGCCTGATTCCTATAACTTAGCCCTATAGGCTTTGCTGAAAAGTCATGATTGAAAGTTCTATTTATCGATATGTTGTGATTGAAAAATATTGTTTATTTATTGAAATAGAACGGCTCATGAGACATGCGGGCCATAATAATTGTACTGTCCTGTGTGGAAAATTTTCAAAATAGCTAGTGGATCCATGCGTTTCAAACAATCCATATCAGTACCAGCAATTTTTTTTTCATCATAGAATATCAGTAACCCTTTGTCATCTAAGTCTGCAACTAGTCAAATGCCAGTGTCAATTGCAGTGACAAACAGCCTTCTTAATTGCAGATGTTGATATTTTTCTTAAATGAATTCACATATATGCATGATTAGTTGTGCTGATACAGAGAAGCACGAAATGCAACAGTGATTAATTAACCATGGAAATTTAAGGCTTTCATGGCAACCAAACAACTGTAACCGCGCGTGATCGTCTGTTTGGCACTGACCTGCTGGCTTTTCTGGGGGCGGCGGCGGCGGCAACAGGCTTCGCCGGCGCGCCCTGCACGGCCCCGGGCGACGGCAGCCCGCGGCTGGGCCTTGGCGTGGTCATGCTCCTGGTGAGAAGCCCCGGCACGTAGAAGTTGAGCAGCACGCCGTCGCCGCCTCCGCCGCAGCTGCCCCTACTGCCGCCGCTCCGCCGCGCCCTCAGCCCCGCCGCCTGCAGCCACTGCTGCTTCGACGCCGCCGCAGTCGGGCGATCGTCCCGCGGCGCCGGGGCGCAGAGGTCCGCGTTCGGCGGCCTGGCGCCGGCCTCGACGAGGTCGGAGAAGGAGAGCTCGCGGTCGGAGCCGCCGCCGTCGGGGAAGCCCGCGAGGAGGGCCAGCATCTCCTCCTCCCGCGCGGACAGCTGCCTTCCGCCTCCCGCGAGCGCGAGTGCCTCCTTCATGGATCGCCTCTCTGTCTCCCTCTTTCTCCACCTCGATTGCGCGGCGACGGCAGGGAGCGAGCAGCGCGTATGGTATTCGACTATTCGTGGCCGCGCGCGCTTGCTCGTGAGGTTTTGGGATAGGTCCCGTCCTCGACTGGAGGCTGATGGTGTGCCGCCGTCGCTTTTGTAGATAGAGGAAGAAGACGTGTGGGCGGGCGGGTTCGCCTCCTTTGATGCGCCGGGTTAAGCAAAGAAAAGACACGGACGTCTAGAAGGACGGGACGGGAGTGGCAACTGGGTTGTGAAGATACGGGATTTTTTTAACACTTTTTTAAACTATTTTTAAATATGACATTGTTTTTTTTCTTCAAAATTAACGCTTTTGACCGCGCCCAGCGAAATAACACTGCCGCGCCATGCATGGGGCGCGGCAGGAGCGACGACGTGGCAGCGACCAGGGTCGCTGAACGCTGATGTGGCCAGGACTGCCGTGCCGCGGATCTGGACGCGGCACTAACGCGCCACGCCGCATGGCGCGGCAAGGCCCATCACAGGCCCGCGGCAAGGCCTCTCTTCTTCCCTTTCTCTCCATTCCTTTCTCTATCTCCTCTGTCTCGTCCGCCGCCGCCCGACACCGCCGCCACCTGCCCGTCGCGCCCGCCCACGGCCTTGGGCCTTTCACCGCGCCTCCATCCCTCCCTCTCTCTAACCATTTGCATTACAACTAAAATAATGTAACCAACACTTATAGAAACAAAAATAAACATTACACTAAACATGGTAAACATACTTCTAACTAATATCTTCCTCCAAACCTTAGCCCACAGTTCCTAAATACAATTTTCCTTCAAACCCTAACTACCATTCATAATATTTGAATCCAACATTCAAACGACAAATAAGAACATCATTACCATGACCGAGGCCGAAGAGAAGCTTGGGGGGAATGGAAGTGAGGGAGGAATGCGGGCAGGGAGGGCCGGGCAGCGGCAGCCCTTGGGAGAGGCGGGAGGGGCGGCGCGGTCGCCCTCCACCTCTTTTTGAAGTAAGGCAGACATAGGGAGGGAGGCTCGCGACGTGACATGTAGTCAGCGCTGCCGCGCCGTGCGGCGTGGCGTGGCACCGATGCGCCAAGATCTGCGGCGCGGCAGAGCCTACCACGTCAGCCGGTCAGGGCCCGGGCCAGTGCCACGTCACCCCCTGCCGTGCTGCCACGCATGGTGCGTCAGTGTTGTTTGGCCGCGCTATGGCAATAGGTGCGACAAAAAATGTTAGCTTTGAAAAATATAATTAAAGAGTGTCAGACTTGAAAATAGTTTAAAAAAGTGTTAGAATTAAAAAAATTCAAGTTACGCAGCCGCAGCCCTTGCCCGGTCTCCCTTTTCGGTTTCAGAAGCTTCTTTTTGCTTTTGGGAAGGTTTGCTGTGTGCTGATAATCTCATCGATGCGCGGTATCATCGCTTTGTGCTTACGGTTACTGATGCATCTTTGTGTACAGTATTTGTCATTCTGTGGCTTAGGCCACCCAACGCTACACGTGGCTGTTAGCCTCGGCTTCCACGTTCGCAGCAAGCAGCTGATTCAGCTCAAACAGTGGCTCCGTGGGGTGTCAGGGGATCCTGCAGGAGCGGCATATGCTTCATCTGACATAAAGCTCAAGCCATCTCGGAGACACGCATTGGAGGCAGAAAATGAAAGCCCCTATCAAACGTTTTGTTGGGACCATAGGACAAACAAGAACGTGGTGTTCTGGGAATTATGGACCAGAATAAAAGCTGAAGTTTTGGCTTGCGTTGTGGGGATTGACAGCCCAGTTCTTTTGGCCTACGTGGACTGTGACTTTTTACTGAGGCCAACGCTGCTAGCCCCCGTTGGCCCTGCCCTTACTGTTCACATTCACATTCCGTTTAATATTGCCACTGAAAAAATCCAGATGAGCTCTTTAATCATTGATTTTACGTGGGTGTGGTCCAGGGCCGGCATTCCAGAGGTGCGTTCGCACCACAGCACAAGGCCCCAAATCATATACGGACTACGACTATCATGAACTACTTAGTTAAGCACGCTTCGCTGCGCTGTTTTTATCCTCACTTGTTCTCGTTGTTGTTTTTGTTGGAGAAAAATAAGAGGCTGAGAAAGCTTGGTGATCACTGTTAGTTTTTAGAGGACAGTTGTTAGTGACACCGTACAGGACGGATGCCATCCCGCTGCAGGGCTGTTTGGTTCGTGTACTGGCCTGGGAGCTGACGCCCAGGCAGCACCGATCCACCCCAGGCTCAGTAAATCCAACGCTTGAGGATGCTGCCTGGCCAGGCAAGTTGGCCATGTCAGCATCCAATCCTCCCACGGATATAAACTTTAATATATCAAGAGAGAAATTATTGCACTCTAGTAATTTATTCATATGAGAAAATTATAAACTTTCACAAGTCCTACCCACTGAAAAAAAAATCTAGATGGGCTCTTTAGCATTGCTTTACTCGGGTGTGGTCTAACAATGGATTGCAAATGTTGACGGGGGCTACGGCATTAAAATAGGCTTTCAGCTTCGTCGTTCGGCAGGATTGCAGGAATGACATTGCTTTTTTTAATAAAAAAATATCAAACTCACATGCAGGTATTACATAGACGTTCCCTAAAAAAAAGGTATTACGACGTTCCCTAAAAAAAAGGTATTACATAGACGGTTCTAGATGTAGTTATTACCTCATTCTAAAGAATGCAATTCTGAATTACATTGTTTGATCAAACTTTCTTACTTTTCACTAATTTTAAAACAAAATGTTCTTAATATTTACGACTCTAGATGGAAATACTATAAAAATATATTTCATGTTTAATTTAACGATACCTTTTCAGTATCATAACATTAAGTATTTATAGATCTGGTCAAATTTAAAAATATTTTACTTCTCGAAAAACAAAAAAGTAAATCCTTTCTAGATGGGAGTACAATGAAGGAAAGAACATAATCAGATAGGGTCTGAGCCACCTTCGGAATGTTTGGTTGCCTGTTTAGAGGTCGAAGCCAGGCTCTAAGAAGCCATCCAACACCACTTAGCTAGGCTCTAGAAAAACGCAAACATCGATCATTCTTTGGGAGCCAGGGAGCGAGTCGACAATTAATTGTGGAAATCTTGGCTAAGGTTGAACACATTTTGTCCCATTATTTCAACCTAGTTTTTCATATGCAGAGGTCATGAGACTTCTGAAACTTCAAATCAAGAAACATAAAAGGTCTTTGATTATTTACACATCCTATATCTCGGTTGCATATAAAACTTAGGGTTAACATGTAGATCTGGAGGACGAGCAATAGCTTAGTTGGTCTGCTTCCTAGTTGTGGGGAGCGGCCACTTGTGGGTTTGGTCCCTGGCTTGGACGAACCTCGCGTGCCTCGCCAGGGATTTTTTCCCTGAGGGAACTAGGCGGGTGTGTGAGTAGTGTGTGCGCGTGTGTGCCCAGTAGACATGTTCCGAGACTTCTTTTTTTTAGACCAAAGGTTTCCCCTGCTTATATTGAAAGCAGCCAGTTTTTGCTAGGGTTACCAGCCGTACAGTGACAATGCACAATACAAGTTCCAACAGCAACAAAAGCCTCTCCACCTCTCAAACTACTTAACGACAGAAACTTAAAAGAAAAGAAGCACTACAAAGAAAAGAACTTTGACAGTTCCGGAGCGTTCAGGTCCTGAGCTTCTTTCAACATCCTTTGATCACCACATTCTGAGTCCCTCGTGGAGCTTGTGGATAGCGTCCTCCATCAGCTGTTGCTCCTTCATCTTGAGCAGGATCTTCCACTGTTTCATGAAACCCAGAGCCATGTAAGCAACAGACTTAGGCCTCGTTCGTTTCTCACGGAACGACCTGGAACGAGACCCAATCCGCCTGGTTCAGAACGACCTGGAACAAAAACCCGGCCAACAAAGATTGCCGTTCGGTTAAGCTTGGCCTGGAATAGAATCCGACCAATCTTGGACATTCTATGTGATCTACGGCCAGGTTTGCTTCCTCGTCTCTTGACATCCGGAACCAAATCACCTGCATCTCACTTGATCCCCTCCTAGGACCATTCCTGCTATCCTGATAGTTGGTTAAAGAAATGGGTCTTTGACCCCACCTCATACTAATCCTAACCCACACCCAGAGGAGTTGAGAGATAAGGACAGTTAAAGAAAAGATGATCTAATGTCTCTAGTTTTCCACAGTATTTGCAAAATTCAGAGCCTTTTCCTTTCCTCCTCTTAAGTTGCTCTCCAGTCTGTACTCTGTCATGCATTCCAGAGACTTCTCTGGCAATCTTATATGTACTTGAGCGTGCAGTCAATATATATGGTGTCTAATACGAGTCTTATATGATATACCAGTGCTCCTGGCGGTATTCAAAAGAAAAAAAAAAACAGGGCCTAGTAATTGAAGGGCCTTGGGAGTTAGGAGAGTGACGTGAACCATCGAGTAGAGTTCAGGCAGTATCATCGTCGGTGTTAACTTGCATGATTTTTAGGCAACTCATCATCATTATGTATTAGCAACGTCCTTATTCTTTTGTGAACACTTGAATCAAACACATTTTTCTTACTACGAAACACATTATATACGTAGACGCTACTTCCTCTATTCCAAATTATAATTCGCTTTGACTTTTTTGGTTCATCTATTTTACTATGTATCTAGACATTATTTATCTAGATGAATAGTAGAATTGATGTACCAAAAAAGTTAAACCGACTTATAATTTGGAACGAATGGAGTATATGTCAAGGCTAATTAAGGCCATAAGTTGGACTAGATCATGGCCTCACGGGATCAAGTCCCTGCAGCCTATATAGTCCGACGTGGCGGTGATGTACATAAGGGTGGAGCTAGAGCTAATTTGAGAGGTGCGCTTGCCTCGTGGATGAGTAAACTTTTTATCACGAATATGGTGAAAAATTGAACATTATCACTTTTTTTTCGTTTTCTGTGTGTGCGGGCGCACCCACAATTCTCTATATAGATCCGCCCATGGATGTACACTTTGCCGGCAACTAAGCGAAGCAGGTTGTTTGGCAAAATAATAATAATAATAATAATAATAATAATAATAATAATAATAATAACTAAATAAATAAATAAATAAATAAATAAATAATGAAGCATGTTCTTTTTCATCAAAATTACAAGAGTTTAAAGGTTTGAAGCAAGTACGGAGTACTTAAGACGGTTATAGGTTAGATCGTAGCAGGGTGTAACTACTCATGGAGGCATTAGACTGGAACCGGGACGTTAACAGTTTGTCCTATAGTAGTTTTGACGACGATGTACGGGTCATAAAGACAAAGTTCTGATGCTAACATGCCAACTAACCGTTCACTACTGTGTGTGCATCTCAAATGGGACTTGGCACAGTGGCGCATCAGGGTTCAGAGACGACAAGGTACACGGTTTCTAGACAAGGTGACCAAAACTCATCGGAATCAACCGAACGCTGAACGTCCAACCGATGTGGCTCAGTCCAACGGCCAACGGATGTGCTTGGAGAGGGACGTCTCTGAAGAACTGAACGCTGAACGCCAGGTGCCGTTGGATTCTCGGCGTGTTTGCGTATACCGGAATGGCTGACAGCTGACTGCATCGACAAAGTACTTCTTAATGTTGAGGCGGCAGGAGACGAGAATAGAAAACAACAAATGCTTTCTAGAAGGCCCTGCCTGTATTCTTTTTTTTTTATGGTCACGCGGGGGGAGGATCCCCACCTGAATTTTTGTATTGATTGAATGGTGCCTTTGGCCGGCACTAAGTTACAGAAATTTTTACGTCATTTGATCCTCAAGTGATCAATTTCTTACATCGGCAAGGTTCCTGTCCTTCCTAGGTAGCCTAAGCTTCCATAGATTGGCATCAGAGATACAGGCTGAAAACGTCTGTTGGAGACTAGTTGTTTCAGACTTGAAGATGACTCCATTTCTACGCTTCCAAAGCTGCCAACAGCACAGGGTAACAAATGTGTTTAAATGTTTCTGAGGAAGATCAGCTGGGCAACAAAGGTTGTGGACGTCGCCCCGCCTTCCAGAGGAGAGAATGGGAGCAGAAAAGCCGATTGCAGACCAGAAATCCTTTGCAAAAGGGCACCTCATGCTCCGCTGTTACTATGTTCGCTCTGCAAGGTTAACGTTCTCTACACAATTGTCATTTTGTCAGAGCGTCTCAAAAAAAATTCTCATTTTGTCAGAGCTGCATGGCCGTCGACGACCCGCACGCGGAATTCCAGCAGTCACGCGAACGCCGAGCACAAAACTCCAGCACAACGCGGACGGGACGCTGGGAACAGGGAGCGGGGACAGGGGCCAAGGGTGAGCAACTGACCACAGCGACGAAATTTTTGTCAATCGTTAGAGCAACTTCAAGAGGAGAGCGAACTTTTTATAAAGCTAAGTATAGCTATTTTTTTAGACAAAAACATGTCCAGTTGATTACAGTGACTCTCCAAATTCACTAGCTCTAAAACCCGGAAACTTCAGTTGCTACTTGCTAGAGTTGGATACCCAGCATTGGATTATTTTTGCTGCTTGTATTTCCAACCCGGAACTGTTGGTTTGGTATACAACACGATGATGTGGACATCATTGCTGGTTGTATTTGAAAGGTTGAAGCATTGGATTATCTTTTGGCAAAAAGAAAGAAGCAGGTGCAGATGAGTTGAAGAAAGAGGAGACGTGCAATAAAGGCTCTGCATTGCGGGGGCTAACAGTTAGCCCTGATTTTTTTAATATCAAATATGTGGGTTAACAAGAGCTAATAGAGGCTACCTTTATCTTTTGTTTTTTTGAACTTATCTATAAGGTTTGAAAACTATATTCAATTACTTATATGGCCCTTCCATTAGTTTAGCTGTTTAGGCACCATTTTACCCCTATCAAAGTAAAAAAAAAAATGAATGAAGTGCAAGAGTTCAATTTATCTTCGTTAGATTTAGAAAATGAATGAAGTGCTTGGCCCCCCAAAAATATAATTTAAATTTTATGCATTTTAACTTAAAACCATGTGTAATATTGCTCCAAATAACAAAGACAAACTGAACTCTTGCACTTCATTTATGTTTCGACACTTAACACCGTTAAGTGGCTAAACTAACGGAAGGGTCATATAAGTAACTGGATATAGTTTTCGGACCTCATAGGTAAGTTAAAAAGAAATAAAAGGCCAAGAAAGAAAGTCACTTTTTTCTTAGGCCAAGCAGGTAATTTTTCTTTTGGTGGTTAGAGTCCATTAGCCCATGTTTAACTCTTTTTTATAATGGACTAACTTTTGACCATTCGAACTCGACTCTGGACTACGCCATTCCGTGTAAGACCATCAAAAGGAAATAGGGAACTGTCTAGCCCAACGGGCTGAACATGGTCAGCTACCACTACTATGGCCTACAGAAGCCTGTCGGGCCATACGCTGCCTAACTTGAATTGTATCACCACATTTTTTTTTTCATTGGGTGTTTTCGTTTAACTTCCTTTGTTCATGAGGATACAAGAACTGGCCAAAGCAGTGGCGGAGCCAGGAATTAACAGGCCAAGGAGAGACCGGCAGACCACGCAGAAGCGAAGCGAGCCAGCGACCTGCAGCGCAGCATGCAGTCGCCATCCTCGGGACCGGGAGCCATGTGGAACCTGCTCCCCCTCCTCTTCCTCGGCTCGTCCCTGCTCGTCGCAACCACCAACGCCGACGACCCATGGTACACCGACTGCCCGAGCAACACGAACTACACGCGCGGCAGCGCGTTCCAGGCCAACCTCGACGCACTCCTCTCCTCCCTCCCCGCCGCGGCGGCAGCGTCCTCCGGGTTTGCCGACAACGTAACCGGCGCCGCGCCCGGCCAGCAGGCGTACGGCCTCGCGCAGTGCCGCGGCGACGTCAACGCGTCGGCCTGCCTCGCGTGCCTCGACGGCTCGGCGCGCCACATGGCCGCCTCCTGCCCCGGCCAGAAGGAAGCCATGCTCATCTACGACGAGTGCCTGCTGCGGCACTCCAACGAGAGCTTCTTCGGCGCGGCCGACACGTCGGTGAGGCTCTGGCTGGTGAACACCCAGAACACGACGGAGCCGGAGGAGTTCAGGTCGCGGCTCGGCGCGCTGATGGGCAACCTCACCGCGAGGGCGGCGTTCGCGTCCCCGCGGATGTTCGCTGCCGGGGAGACCGCCGTCACGCCCTTCGTGAACATCTTCGGCATGGCGCAGTGCACGCGGGACCTCGCCGCCGATGACTGCAACCGCTGCCTTGTCAGCGCCGTCGCGCTCATCCCGAACTGCTGCGACGGGAAGCAGGGTGGCCCGGGGCATCGGCCGGAGCTGCTCCATCCGGTTCGAGGTGTACCCGTTCTACAACGTCCAGGCCGCCCAGGAGGCCATGTCGCCGGCCGCGGCACCGGTTCCGGGAGGGGGGCCGATCAACGGCAGCGACCACTCCGTGCCCAGAAACACCGGTGAGTCAACGGCCAACGTCTTCCATCTCTTGTCCTGTCCACGTTTGCTACTATTGCCGCGTTAACGTGTCCACTGTCCGTAGCACACACTCCACTGGTGTCGAGGGACCGCTTACTAGTTTATTGTTTTTGGACATTTTCGTTTCAATCTTTAAGTCTTGAGACTGTCACCAACAGTTTATGCGTAACGTTACTCAAACCCAAAATATGTTATTCACATAAAAAAAACACGGTCCAACAGGGTAGTCAAACGAAGGACCTATTTTGCGTCGAGGGGAAACCCAAATAAGCCTGCTCTCGCCGTCGCGACGACCTAGATATCTGGCGCCGTTGACCATGGTGGGCCCGTAGGAGGCGAGGCCGGATCTGCCGCCACCGACCTTCATCCGTAGCCCCAGTGGCCGTAGCCTCGCCCCTGGGAACCACGCGCCGCCGCTGCTTGGGGCCGGGAGAGGGCGCGCCGCCGCTGCTTGAGGGGCCGGGGAGAGGGCGCCGCCACTGCTTGGGGGCCGGGGGAGGGGCGCCGCCGCTACTTGGGGGCCGGGAGAGGGGGGCACCACCATTGGTTGGGGGCCGAGAGAGGGGGCGCCGTCGCTGCACCTATTCGACGACGGTGGCAACTGCGGTTCCAGGTTTCTCTTTTGACGTCTGCTGTTGGAGAAGTCAACGTTTAGGTATGTGACCTTTTTGCACAGCACGACCCATACCATGCAATGGGTCTCGATTTTAAGGTCGCATTGATGGAAGCGCCGGGAGGCGGGTTCGTCAACGGAAGCGAACACTTGGGCCCAGGAAGCAACGGTGAGTCCACAACGCAACTCTTCCAATCTCTTGTAGTCCCGTCACTTTCCTGACGCGTTTGATAGTTGACACTTAGATCTTCTGCCGTCCAGTCACTTTCCGTACGCGTTTCATAGTTGACGCTTGCTGTGCCTCTGGGATCTAAATTGTCGCCGTGATAGATGACACTTGCTCTCATCTTGACTCGGCAAAATTGACGATGAAATTTCTCCATCTTCTCCGAACATGAGCACATGAGATGTTACACCTTTTGACTTGAGAGAGAGCCGTGACGTGTTTATAAAGGCCGTTAAAAACGTTTTGCTTTTAGTCTGTTTGGAAAATGAATACAATTTTAGATACATTCTTAATTGGAGTTGCTAAAATTCCTAAGTGCCTGAATTTTAGTTTTTTTTTGACGACGGTTGTTGCATATATTTTATATTAAAATTGAAGATTTAATTCGTTACAATTTTTGTAGGCACAACCTGTAATTTTTTGTTCCGAGAATAGAAAAACCATTAGATAAAACCACAAATCCAATAAAATCTAATTTATATTGACAAAGACAATTAACAATTTACAATCATTTCTATAGTCAGACAAGGGTAGAAAGTTGATATGATATGACACAAAGACAAATAACAAATCACAAAAAATATAATTTACTTGTACTAGTTGATGATACAAGAGTGTTGTCTGAAATCATCTTAAAATTTAGGCATATGAAATATAGGAGAAATACTTAATTAAAGTACCTAAAGTTTGATTCAATACATAGTTAAAAATATTAATGTTTATAACATCAAATAATATATTTTAAAAATATATCTCATGATAAATCTAATAATATTTATTTGATATTATAACTATTTATAGTTTTTATATATAGTTAGTTAAATTTAAGATACTTTAACTTAATGCTAGTATTATGCTAGATTTGTATTAGGACGGTGACTAATCTTGGCGAAGTCTGAAATGGCTTCTATTCTGAATTACCGACGACGACCAACGCCGCCGTGCACCCATGTGAATTCTGTGCAGGGAGTAATCATACGGTCAGGACAGCTCTTCTCGTGTCAATCCCTGTCGCTGTTGCGCTGCTGGTGCTGCTGCTAGTTGTTGCCTGTCTCTGCAAAAGGAACAGAAAACCACACAAGCATGTACAGATTGCAAGCATCAGTAAGTGGCGAAACAATGTCAGTACATTATGGCATGTTCGTTTGAGCCCCTTTTAGTCATGAAATAGTATTTTTCTCTTACAATATTTTAGTATAAGCATCAGTATAAGCCAAATTTCAGCATAAGCCAAATTTCAGCGTATATTTAACGAGTAGTGTGGTGCTAAGTTTAGGCCTGACTCCTGAGGTTATCGTGTTCTGTTATGATTTATGAACACTGAACAGGCCGTGAAGATGACCAAGAAATGAGAAGCTCAGAGTCTCTCTTGTATGATTTGAGCACCCTACGAGCTGCCACCGATAACTTCTCAGAAGAAAACAAGCTCGGCGAAGGCGGGTTCGGGTCGGTATACAAAGTACGAAACTACTTTAAACCTGCAACCTAAAAACTAATCACATAGCTGAAATGCTTTCGCGTAACAGATTAGTTGTTGGCCTGGTCCCATTGTTCTTCAGGGCACGTTACAAAATGGACAGGAGATTGCAGTGAAGAGATTGTCTGCAACTTCGCAGCAAGGACAGCTGGAGATGAAGAACGAGGTTTTCCTGCTGGTGAAGCTCCAGCACAAGAACTTGGTGCGACTGCTCGGCTGCTGCATCGAGGAGCACGAGAGGCTGCTCGTCTACGAGTTCCTCACCAACAACAGCCTCGACAAGATCCTCTTCGGTGATTGCTTCATTCAGACAACTATAATAATCCCACTGTCATTTCACTTCGGTCAGATAACATGCAGGACATTCGCTGATAAACTCAACTGGCAGATCCTGCACGACAGCGAGAGCTAGGCTGGGGACTGAGGCAGAGGATCATCGAAGGGATCGGCCGAGGGCTCCTCTACCTCCACGAGGACTCGAGGCTGACCATCATCCACCGCGATCTCAAGGCCAGCAACATCCTGCTGGACACAGACATGAACCCCAAGATATCAGACTTCGGCTTGGCCAAGCTCTTCAGCATCGACTCCAGCGTGGGAAACACAAGTCGCATTGCTGGAACTTAGTAAGTGAACAGTGATTTGGTGCCTCCAATCTCCAAAATGCATCGGGTCGAATCCATGCTGAACGCCTAAACGTTCCTAATATGCCGTGTGTTTCCGAAATGCAGCGGATACATGGCGCCGGAGTACGCTCTGCACGGCATCTTCTCGGCCAAGTCAGATATTTTCAGCTACGGCGTCCTTGTCCTCGAGATCGTCACCGGCCGGCGCAACACGTGCACACAAGGCTCAGGGCCATCTGAAGATTTGCTTACCTACGTAAGACATATATAAGACATAACCTTCCGAGCAAGTCACTTTGAGGCACTGACTAGCAACATTCATGTATAATTGCTGGTGGGCGTGCATAGGTTTGGAGGCACTGGAGCCGCGGGAGCGTGCGCCAGCTGCTTGACGGCTGCCCGGCGGAGGGGCGGCGGCCGCAGGAGATCCTGCGGTGCATCCACGTCGGTCTGCTCTGCGTCCAGGAGGATCCGTACCTCCGTCCCGGCATGGCGTCCGTCGTCGTCATGCTGAATAGCCGCTCCATCACGCTGCCGACGCCTGCCGTGCCAGCCTACGCGCTTCACGGCCGCGCGGCCACAACAGTGAACCCGCCGTGGGGGATGAGCATAGGTCGCAAGGGTCCCATAGCGGCAGCTCAGGAGCCGTCTATCAACGAAGCTTCTGTATCTGAGTTGCAGCCCCGTTGATGCTATACGAGTCAGCAAGAATCAGCATGGATGCCGGCCCGCCGATCAGTCGATGGACAATGCTTAGTGTTCGAATTTTTCTCCTCGTTTGAATTTGAGAGTAGAGTTTGTATTCGAATTTGTCTTATAGAAAGTGCCTGTGAAACTTTTCGTCGGATTTTTTTGTCAGACGCTTGTAGAAGATGAGCTGTGAGCGTGTGACATGCTTGTTTGATTTAACTAGCGAGCACGGTGGTTAACCGGTTATAGATGGCCAAATGGGTCATGCCCATTCGACGGTTCTAACCACAGTACTAACACGCTCAGTCCAATGGCCACCGTGCTAGTGCTAGTCGGGCCGATGCATAAGGTTATGCTTGGGGTTAGCGACGCCGGGGTCGCCGCGGCTTGCGAGGCCGGGGGTTGGTCGAACGCGGCCGGCGGCGGCCATGGCCGGCTTGGCGAGCGCGCGGGGTCGTGGCGAGCATAGCGTCGGAGAAAAATAGAATGGGGGAAGGAACTGTTATTTTCAACTAATCAATGACACTGCGGGTAATTACCTCCCAGGACGTACAGATCCAAAGTTTTTCGGAGCACCTCATGGATCTGGCCTCCAAATCTGGATTTTTGGTTGCTTTAGATCTGGTGGTGGGGAAGTGTTTAGGTAAAAAAAAAAAAAGGATCTACAGCTAGATTTGATTGATCTGGAGTACTTGAAAGTGTCCCAAACAAGTCCTTACTCAGTGTAAGGAACCAAACAAAGTTGCCTAAACGAGCGGTGCCACATAACAATTGGCTTCTGATTTATGAACATCTTATGTCACTTTGACCATGACCATGAGATAGCTGAATTTTGGTGTAGTTCTGTGGTTCTGGTAATGGAGTTGACTATTCTTGTCATGGACAAAAAGGGTGTACCCATTTTGCGGGCAAGTAGGCAAATGTGCTTTGTATTTGTAATATTTATATGAGTATTAACAAAACTTTCACTTTTTTTTTTGGTGGGGGGCGGCCCTCCTCGAGTTCTGCCATTGGTCAGTGCAGTGAACCTGTCTCCCTAGTTCCGCCAATAGTCAGTGCAATGAACCCACCGCGGGGATGAGAGCATGTTCGGCTGTTATTAAAGCCGACTGATAAACCGACTGAAACTGTTTTATTGTGAGAAAAAAATACTGTAGATTCTATTTGATAAGCCGACAGATAAGTTCAAACGAACATGTCCGAGCATGGGTCGCAAGGGTCCCATTGGCCGCAGATTGGGAGCCATCTATCAACAAAGCTTCCGTGTCTGAGTTGCAGCGCCGTTGATGCTATACGAGTGAGCAAGAATCAACATAGATGCCGGCCCGCGGATCAAATCAATGGACAACAATGATGCTTAGTTTTAGAAATTTCGAATTTTTCTCCTCGTTTTAAATTCGGGAGTAGAGTTTGCACTCGAATTTGTCCTATGGAAGTGCTTGTGGAATTTTTCGTCGGAATATTTGTCAGACGCTAGTAGAAGATGAGCTGTGAGCTGTGATACGCTCGTTTGATTTAACTAGCACGGTGGTTATAGATGGCCAAATAATGGGTCAAGCCCATTCGACGGTTCTAACCACAGCACTAACACGCTCGGTTCGATGGCCACAATGCTAGCGCCACTCGGGCCAACCCATAAGGTTATGCTTAGATTGACTCAAACAAGTAGCTCATATGGACACCCATATCTAAAATGGGTAGCTAGAGATTTAAAATCGGTCTCCAATAGATTACTTATATGGAAGATCAATTTTGGGTTGTCTGAGAGGCACAACCTAAATATGAACATCCTCTCTCCTGAAAACCCATTTGCAGAAATGATTCCTTTTTGGGTCATGTTGTTGGAGAAGATGTGAATGGGTATTGAACCCTTTGCCTGTAGCGCTACCCAAAGGTCGAATGAGTCTTGTATTTTAGGTGTTGTTGTTAGAGATAGTCTTATGTCAGCATTTTGACTCGTAGTGTCGACCCAAGAATGGCCTAATCTCTCTCTATCATTGGATAGTCTCAGGTGACTGAATGTCATTAGATGTGGAGGAGAGAAGTATATAAACGCTCCTCCAAAATCTCCTCCTGTTTAGCTAGCGTACATCGACAGTGAGGGTGCGTAGCCTCACACTAGCGAAAATTGAAACTAAAACTAAACAACTAATCGGCACTATATGTATTTAATTGTTTTGGAGTACCTCGTATAAAACTCTAAACTAAAACAATTAACTAGTGAAAGAGCAAAGGAGGAACTTCGATGACATGACGATCAACTTTTTTGAATATATGGAAGAGCGAGACAAAAGAACTTTTCAACATAGTCTAGCAACCAGGGCAAGTCACAATTCTTAGCAAGGAGGATATACAACAATTTTAGCTGGCGTCAAAGACCAAATATCAGGAATCCTTAGTTTTTGGCATCTTCCTACGGTATCCGTTGTTTTTTCTTTCCTTAGCTACGGTGGTTTTATTGCAGTGGTTTGTTCTTGACATGCTTTTAGCAGCCTCTCTGTTTCTACAGTCCTTTTAACTGTCTAGGTTGGTTCTGTGCAGGTGTGCTAGGGGCAGGACATGGGAGAATCTCTTTATAATTACACTTTTTTTTTCTCTCGTCTAATATATTTACCGGCAAAGCCCTTGCCGTTCTTTTTAAAGAAACAATTAACTAGAAAAATATGTACTCGTTTTAAAAAATAAGTATACTTAAAGTTATCACAGGCTGAAACATAAATATGGTAAATAAAGAGGCGAAGTAGAAAGTCCAAACTCCGGAAACAGGATGATATATATTTTGTGGGATGCTAAAATATATTACCCTTAATGGACGAACCAAATAACAAGGGAAGGCAGATTACGCGAGTGGTAAAATTTAGGTTGGCTTGCTCGGTGTAGGAACCAAACCAAACAAAGTCTCCTAAACGTGCGGTGGCATACAACAATTGGCTTCTGAACATCTAATGGCCCTTTGACCATGAGATAGCTAAATTTTGGTGTAGTTCTATGGTTCTGGTAATGGAGTTGACTATTCTTGTCATGGACAAAAGGCCAAAAGGGTGTACCCATTCTGCCTTCTGCCGGCCAAGCAGGCTGCAGCCGAGGCCAGAGGCGAGAGCGAGACGCAGTGCTGCATGAAAAAAAGAAAAGGAAAAAGTAGACACACAAAGTGCACCGCTGGATGGCCATTGAATGATCTGTTCAGTGGCGGAGGGAGGGGGCAATAAGTTCATACGGAAATTTCAAATTTGATCATTTTTTTGAAAAAAAATATACTGCTAGGCTCCTCCAAAAAAGATAAAATCGTATTTCTAACCTCTACTAGATATGATTGATCGTCCGAGAAGATGCAAAAATTCACCGCTTGTTTGGTGGTTGGAGAAAGTACTAGTTTATCACATTAACTCAACCCACCCAAATTTCGTTGCTCATCTTCCTTACTTTTTGAAATTTTGATACGGCATTTCCAGAAAGACAACCAAATCACTATGAACAGTACATCTTGAAAGGTAAATATTGCTGTAATTCAGAACCAAACCTCCTCTCAAAAAAACAAACAAGAGAACTGAAAAAAACCAAAAAAAAACATGAACCCGAAACATACAAGTTCATTCATCGATCGACGTCGTTCATGCTGATGTTGCTGATGACCCATCAACGCGGCTCCAAGTCAGTAAAGGAGGCTTCATTGATGGACATGGACTGTCCCCGAGCTGCTGCCACCGCCCTAGCAACCTGGTGATCCGTCCCCGTCACGGGCGTATCCGCGGTCACCGTGAGACCACGGCCCGGCATCACGAAGGCTGGCGCGTTGGGGGCCGGTAGCGTGATGGAGCGGCTGTTAAGCATGACGACGACCGACGCCATGCTGGGGCGGAGGTGCTGGTCCTCCTGTACGCAGAGCAGACCGACGTGGATGCACCTCAGCATCTCCTGCGGCCGGTGCCCCTCGTCGGGGCACCCCTCCAGCAGCGGCTGCACGCTCCCACGGCTCCACTGCCTCCAAACCTGCCCATGCCATGCAGAACAAGGATAACAGGAGTAGGATATTTTAGCCTTAAAAGGAGTTAGGATATACACAAAAAAGGTTGATACTTCATCCTGACAGTAAGAAGAGGGATCCATACATAGGTAAGAAGATCTTCAGAGGGTCCTGAAGCATACGTGTACGTATTGCGTCGTCCGGTGACGATCTCGAGGACAAGGACACCGTAGCTGAAAACGTCCGATTTGGCCGAGAAGATGCCGTGCAGAGCGTACTCCGGTGCCATGTACCCGCTGCATGCATTTCAAAGCCACGGTCAGCATGAACACAATGATTACACCTACGCCCGTGATTGCCACGGGTGAACTCCGACTAGTGGAACTTGGAGGCCGCCGGCCGGTCGGCAGGAAAACTTACTAGGTTCCGGCAATGCGGCTGGTGTTCCCCACGCTGGAGTCGATGCTGAACAACTTGGCCAAGCCAAAGTCAGAGATCTTAGGGTTCATGTCGGCGTCCAACAAGATGTTGCTGGCCTTGAGATCGCGGTGGATGATGGTGAGCCTCGAGTCCTCGTGGAGGTAGAGGAGCCCTCGGCTGATCCCCTCGATGATCTTGTGCCTTAGTCCCCAGCCCAGCTCCTGCTGCCGTGCAGGATCTGTGAGTTCAGTTTATCAGCGAATGTCCTGCAGGTGATCTGACTGAAGTGCAATGACACGGTAGGATTATGGTTGTCAGAATGTATATAGCACCAAAGAGGATTTTGTCGAGGCTATTGTTGGTGAGGAACTCGTAGACGAGGAGCCTCTCGTGTTCCTCGATGCAGCAACCGAGCAGTCGCACCAAGTTCTTGTGCTGGAGCTTCGCCAGCAGGAAAACCTCGTTCTTCATCTCCAGCTGTCCTTGCTGCGAAGTTGCAGACAATCTCTTCACTGCAATCTCCTGTCCATTTTGTAACGTGCCCTGAAGAACAATGGGACCAGACCAACAACTAATCTGTTACGCGAAAGCATTTCAGCTATGTGATTAGTTTTTA